TACCTGGAGTAGATCCTAATAAAATAGTTTAAAAGAAAAAAAAAAGCAGAACTGGGGAGAAAAACAGGGCTTTTACTCCCTTAAAGAGTAACAGTCTCGGAAATCCACAGGACCAAGTTCTACCCTGTCCTACAGGGTCACTATGAGACAGCATTGACTTGGTGGCCTTGAGTTGGGTTTGGTAGGCCAGGCATTAAGTTTGACAGTGGTCATCAGTATGCCCACCCTCATAGGGAAATTATAATCTAAAGTTTATTGTTAGTTTGGCACTTGCTGATAGCATTCAAAATTTTATAATGATTTGCTGTTGTTTATTGCTTGGATCCACAATCAATGCTCCTGGAAGCAGCAGTCAAAAGAGATCAAAGGACGCATTGCACTGGGTAAAGCTGCTGCACAAGACCTCTTTAAAGTGTTGGAGAGCAAGGATGTTAAACTTTGAGGATTAAGGTGAGCCCAACCCAATCTGTGGTATTTTCAGTCGCTTCAGATGCATGTGAAGGTTGGACATTGAATAAGAAAGACTGAAGAAGAATTGATGCATTTGAATCGTGGTGCTGGCAAAGAATATGACAGTACCATGCACTGCCAAAAGAACAAACAAGTCTGTTTTGGAAGAACTGACAAAATGTTCCTTAGAGGCAAGATGGTGAGACTTTGTCTCGTGTACGTGTACTTTGGTCATGTCCAGAGAGACGAGTCCCCAGAGAAGGACGTCATGCTTGGTGAAGTAGCTAACCAAACTCACTGCCATCAAGTCACTGCTCTCCTAACGACTCCCTGTGGGTTTCTAAGACTGTAACTGTTTTTGGAGTAGAAAGCCCAGTCTTTATTTTCCCACAGAGCTGCTAGTGGTTTTGAACTGCCGACCATGTGGGTTGCAGCCCAATGCATAACCCCCACAATGCCAGGAAAAAGAGGAAGGCCTTTGATGAGATGGATTGACACAGTGGCTGCAGCAAGGGGCTCAAACAAAGGAACAGTTGTGAGAATGGTGCAGGACTGTGCGGGTGTTTCATTCAGTAGTGCGCAGAGTCTCTATGCACTACTCTATGCTCCATAGCACCTACCAACATATTGCTCAACAACAAAATTAATAAAAGGTTTATCCTAAATCTAGAATTTGAAATTACTTGGGTGTATCTTCTACTTCAACAGAAAGATAAACAGCGTTGTGCTAATTCAGCACTCCAGTTTTCCACCCCAGCTGTTTTGGGTATTGAACGATGAAAGTCTGAGTATTTGAAAAAGAAAGACAAGATGAAAGGGAATCCCTGTGATTCTCTTCCGGGTAGAAGTCACACTGGCCAGCTTTGAAGCCGTCCTCACACTGACTTCGGGTGCTCTGCTGAGCCACTGATCTCAAAATTTAAAGTATCTTTGCATTTGCAATTGAATAAAGCATTCACCAGGGTGTAAGAAAAAAGGTTAAAGAGGTCTAAGTCTTGGTAACTTACATGAACAATTCAATGTAGGCTCTGTGAATTACTCTCTAAAAGATGCCTACAGTGTCTCATTCTTTATTTCAGTCCACTTAGAGATTGGTACCTTGTCTATTTCAGCTTACATTTGCCTTAAAGATATTTAAACCTTTGTCAAGCTGCTATTTTCACCCATTGTGGTCCAAAGGGTGGGAAGTTGTCTCCTCTACGGTTATAAATACAATTAGGAAAGTTAGCAGAATACAATTAGGAAAAAGAAAATGTGATCTAATGGTCTAACTGAAATGTCACTAATCAGTTTGCATTTTAATACACTAACAGTAAGTACAGTGCTTGCTTTACTCTTCCTTATTTCCATATCCTACTCAGTGTTACTCAGTATCATACGAAGGGGGACTCAAAAAAATTGGAATTTTTTATTTTTCAAAGTTATGTAACAATCTTATCACCTTCAAAGTACTCTCCATTACACTTCATACATTTGTCAAATCTGCGACTCCATTCTTTTTTTTTTTTTTTTTTTTTTTTTGCGGTTCCATTCTTGGAAACATTTTTAAAACTCATCTCTTTGGATGACTGACAGCACCGCCCTTATTTTTTTCTTCACCTCTTCTGTGTCATCGTCCCTTCATGTCCTCTTCATTTGTGGGAAAAAGAAGTCACACGAAGCAAGGTCCGGTGAGTAAGGTGCATGGGACAAGAGAGGCACGTTTTTTGCCAAAAACTGGCACACTGAGATGGCTGCGTGAACAGGTGCATTGACAGGTGGCAAAAACAGCCCCCCCCATCTGCCACAAATCAGGCCTTTTTGTCCCTTTTCAGACCTCTAAATTGAAAGTTTGATTAACAGTCTGACCTGGTGGAACAAACTCCAAATGCACTGTCCCCTCACGTCAGAAAAACAAATGAGCTTTGTCTTGATCTTTGATTTCACTTGACGAGTGAGGTGACAATGGTGTCTACCACTGGCTTGATTGAGGTTTGCTTTCGGGGTCATAAGAGTAGCACCATGTCTTGGCGCCAGTAGTGACTAGAGAAAAGTCCGGGTCGTGTCGGCTGTTCATTCACAGCACAGCATGCTTCCAGTAACGCTCTCTTTCCTGGCCAGTCAGAGCCCTTCCCATTCTCACTCTGCTGTTGAAACTCACTGACCGAACTCAAAGATGGACCAGATAACTTTCCCATCTCTTCTGTGGTCCATAGTAGTTCTTCAAGCACAAGTGCACACATTTTGTCAACAATTCAGGAAGTTGATGGACATCAGAACAAGGTTTGTCATCAGTCAACATTTCACCTTTTTTAAAATGAGGAAACCATTCCTACATATAGCACTTTTTGTGCTTGTATGCTGTGTTCAACATCACAACAGTTTCTGCTGCATTTTTCCCTGCAGGAAACAAAATTTCACAGCCACATGCTGTTCTCTTCAATCAGCAATCACAAAAAACAAGGTTTGAGCAAAACTGCTTTTACAAAAAAATTCACTGTGACCAGAAAGAACCTTCCCAGGTGATGCCACTGGGTGCACTCACTCAGCGAGCTGTTCCATGTTTGCCTAGCGGGAAAATGCAAACTATGAAAGCTCTGCCCAGTGGAGCTTTTTTTCGTGGGTTTTTTTTTTTTTTTTGAGGGGAGGTGGGGGGGCACCCCCTCATGTATACAGAGTGAAATCAGAAATTAAGCTCTACTCCTCTGCCTACTTTAAATCATCATCACAAGATTAAGGAAACAGAACAGGGCTTAGAAATAAATAATAAAAAATTAAAAATAAATACATAGTAAATCACTCTCCATGCAAGGACACGTGGATGTGTCCTTGCAAGGAAACTTCCATATATGCACACATACAGATTTAGTTTCTTTCTGCATAGCAGAGGGGAACCCTGGTGGTGTAGTGGATATGCAGCAGGGCGAAACCACCAACCACTCCACGGGAGAGAGATGAGGCCTTCCACTCCCCTGAAGAGTTAGTCTCTGAAACGGAAAGAGGTCGTTCCACACTGTAGAACTCAAGGGTTGCTAGGAGTTAGAATTGACGGCAGTGAGTTTGGGGTTTGGGGGGTTGATCTCCATAGCATTCCTTTATCCCCACCCCCCCCAGCAATAAGTGTCACCTTTGTATACCAATTGTGTTAACTTTTGCAAATTTTTAAAAAAAAAAATGAGAAATGTTCTGCTAAAATTTTCTCTGGCCATTAAGAGGAAAATTCCATTTTTCAGTCCTTTTAATGTATTTTTTATTCCCCTTTAACTGGGGCAGAATCCACCTAACAAAATTAACTATTGGCAACCATTTTGAGGTATATAATTTAGTGTAAAGTCATTTTTAATCTAAATACTAGCTCACCACAATCCCAGATAGTAACCACTAGCCTTGTATACCTGTTTAACATTTTTTTCTATTTAACATTTATTAACAATGGGACATAGTGCTCTTTAGTCACACGGGCTCTATAGCCAGCAGAGGCTAGTAGCTACTATGTTGGAAAGTGCAGAAATAGCATTAGAACGTTTTAATCCTGGCAGAAAACTCTTGGACAACATACTAGGCCACACTTTGTTGAAAGTACACCATAGATCATTCCTTGTTGATGTGTAGTGTAAGCTCCAGTGGAAAAGCGTTTTTTTCTTTGAAATTTTGTGAGAAGTTATCTATTCATTACCTTCACACTTGTGGTTTTGTTCTTTTAATATGACAGGATTAAACACTCACAGTTGCTCTGTTCTTTTTTTTATTACTGAATCATTTTATTAGGGGCTCTTACAACTCTTAACACAATCCATACATCCATCCATTGTGTCAAGCACATTTGTACATATATTGCCATCATTTTCAAAACATTTTCTTTCTACTTGAGCCCTTGGTATCAGCTCCTCATTTTTCCCTCCCTCCTCTACCCTCCCTCCTTCATGAACCCTTGATAATTCATAAATTTTTATTTTCTTATACCGACCACTGTTCTGTTCTTAATAGCCCATGATTTCTTAGACACATTTCCAATTTTTTCTTCTAGTTTTGGGACGCCACCAAGTGATAAATTTGAGTATTACATTTGGAGGGGAGACTTTTTTTTTCTTTTTTCTTTTTCAATAGAATGGCCAGTATCCTAACCAATCTTATTTAGGAACAGAACACAGAATTTTTCTGGAATTTCATTTGGAAATTTTTAGAACTGACCTTTTTTTTTATGTATCTACGACAAAGTGTGCTATGGAGCCTGGTTGTTTTATTTTTATATATTTCCTCAGTTAAATTGCTGCCTTGACACTGCCATATCACCGCTTCACAGCCTGTAAGTCTCCCAAGTCAATCGCAAGCATGACACCAGCAGTTTGCTAGTCCTGGGAAGTATGTTTCAAGTAGACACAGGTTTTCTCCCTTAAAGACTGAGTGATACCTGGGTCCAGGGGCATCAATAGAACGCATGGGAGTGGAGAAGGTAAAACGTGAGGAACTGTCTGTCTGTCATAAAACTACTGACTCTGCGACAGCTGGAATGGAATGCTGCCAGTCTCACTTCCGTAAACTTGCCAACTGCTGTTTCTCTTTCTCTGTAGTGCAGTGAGAATCCTACTAGAAAAGAAATGGCTGCCTCCTCGTCCTCCTCCTCGGCTGGTGGCGTCAGTGGGAGCTCTGTCGCTGGCTCTGGTTTCAGCGTCTCCGACCTTGCCCCTCCACGGAAAGCCCTTTTCACCTACCCCAAGGGAGCCGGAGAGATGCTAGAAGGTGATCGCACGCTGCTTTTTTACTGAGGAACTGGATTAAGACCTCGGTGGATGGTCATTGTAAAGAAGCTGTGAGTGTATTAGAGACAGGCTTGCTCCGATTTTGGCCACGTCTCATATTTTGTCCCCATTTCAAAATAATATCATTAAAGCACTTCCATGTCTTCCTCCAGAATCTAAGATTTGGAATTGCAAAGGCATTGGGAGTGAAAGAGAACATGGAGAGCTTTGTAGAGACAGAGAAGTGTCTTTGACTGTGGTAAGGCAGTCCGGCACTGGTACCGCGGCGGAGCTTGGTCCCCAGTTTGCTTTGTCCAGGCACTGGTCCACCTCCCTATGGTGGGTAGGCCAGGCGTCTGTTCTCCCAGTGTAGTCTGTAGATGAGTCAGCAATATCAGAAAGACTAAGAGGAAGCACAAACGAATACGGTGCCCTTCACTGTGAAGATGCTTCTCCTGACCCACTGCAGACAAGTGTGGTTTTCTATCTCTGGAGATGCATTTACATCACACCCACGTGCTTGTTCAGCACACCTGTGCAGAGAGGCTGGTCGAGATCAGGGTGTAGGTTGTGAATTTGAAGCCACATTGGTGCCTGGGCTTCATCAGGTTTACATACACTGATGGAATCAACTGAAGTAATGGCCTAAATGGCAGTGATTAAAACAACAACGAAAAAAATCACTGCTAGTTTGTTTTGTTTTTTTCTTGGTAGTCACTAGAGCCAGACTCTTAGAGGTCACTCCAAGAGCTAAACAAATAATCCTTAATAAAGGGCATAAGAATCATTCAAAGAACTCCTTTAAAATGTCTCTTTCTAGGGCTAAGGTGACCAGACGTCCAGCTTTTAGCAGGACAGTCCCGATTTTGCATAATTTTTCCCACGTCCCGCGGTGTTTTTAAAAAGTCCCGATTTTTAGAAAGAATGCACGACAAGCTAGGGTGTACGATTTTCAGCTGCCATGTGGCTGTTTCACCAGGATATGAGTTTTATCAATCGTGTCCCGCTGTGCCAATGTTAAAATCTGGTCACCTTATTCTAGGTGCACCCTGGAGGGTCTCCATGAGTGTGGGGACAAAGCAGGAGTCTTTGGGGGGTCTGGGGACAAAGCAGGGGCTGCTCATGGAACTGGTCCTCTCGTCATTCTGTAGAAACATTGGCAAAGAACCCAAATCTACCTCAGTGCTGAATGACATCTTGGTCATTTTAGCTTGAAATGTTGGAAATTTTTTAATTACTCTGAAAATGTCTCTTTCTAGCTATGTGGCAGTGGGTGTTTTAGGATGATCTTTATTCACTTATCAGGCATATTATAAAACAGAGTTTGGGGCGGAACCAGAGCAAGACAAAGAATAATTTGTGACGAGAAAACAAGAGGGAATTCTGGGGCTGTGAGGTTCTCTCAGACAGGTTACGGTCATGCTTAGTAGTGAAGTAGATGACCAGGTAGTAGAATAAATGATACATCTCAGGTGTAGGTATTTTTACCTTTGCCTTTTCATTTTCTTCAGTCATATTAACTAAATAGGATTAGGATCACTGGATGTGGAAGCAGTGAACAGATGAGACCCTTGTTGGCTATATCTAGCACTCAAAACATGACTTCAGTTATACGTAGCAGAAACCTTATATGAAGTCATTTCCCCACAAAACATATAAAGTTGCAGGCACTTAAGTGGTTTAATGAGTTTTATAGCAGCAGAATGATGATTAATTAACAATGGAACTCTAAGATTAAAGTCATTTAAATTGTAGCAATAGGACTTTATGTAGGAGGTACTCTCATAGTCTTAAAGCTGTCAGCATCCCTTGTGTCCAAAGACATAGAGAAGCAGCCTTCTTGTTTAAAGTTGATACTCTAGCAAGTTATAGATACATTCATTTTCATTCCACCCCATTGTGCTTCATGAAGCAATGTGTGGATTTCTATTGTAGAATGAATACAAAGTTTAAATGCATTGTGCAGTTTTGATGGTTCACTTCCTTAGGTTTGAAGTTTCATCTGTATCTTAAAGCTGCCTACCCTTTAAAAAGTCCCCCTAGTGGTGTAGTTGGTTACAAGGTCAGCAGTTAAGATACCACCAGCTGCTCCTTGGGAGAAAGATGAGGCTCGCTACTCCTGTAAAGAATCGTCATGGAAACCCATAGTGGCAGTTCTATTCTGCCCTACTGAGAGTCGGAATCGACTAGATGACAATGAATGAAATCCTTAAAAAAGACTGAAAAATAGTGTGGGCAATCCCTGAGTTACTGTGGTCAAATCAAGAATATTAAATTGAAAAAAGAGAATTCCTAAATGTGAGTAATATGGATGATAGGTTTTGAAACATTTTCTACTATGTGTATAGGTGTACTATAATATGCTTAGTGCATATATACTTGATCATTTTCCTTATAATTATTTATTAGATTATGAAAATAGAACAGTAAGGGTTGCCAGCTCAGAGTGAGGGAATATACTTTATAATCTTAACAAGTACAGACTGATTTTGCATCCTTCTAAGTCTAGGATAACAAACCCAAAAAACCTGTAGTTAATCTTGTGAACTCACTTTTTGATGCAACCTGTCTGCCTTTTGATAATAGATATAATAAGCACTATCTAACAGTTTCCAGTATTCTCCTGCCCTTGACGAAGATCAGCCTCACCCAGTTATTAGTGAGCAAAATTGGATACTGCAGTTCACCCAAGAAGCGGCTGTATGTTAGTGACAGTGTAGACCACTGAAGTATAAATTGTCTGACATTGCCTAATTTCCTACTGTGAGGTAATGTTCTTTTAAATGAGTTTGTTAGCTGTCTGTTTTTGGAGTTGGCGATAGTGTTGAGTTTGGACCATTGACTGGCCTTTGCTTGTCCCTTAAGAGGAAAGCTATTATATTGCTACTTGATGTGTATGTTACAAAGGTCCTGATTACAGTTTCTAATTGGAAGACACAATGGCCCATGTTAACTCCTCTCTGGAGGAATTCCAGGCTTGTTGTTAGGTGCCATGAAGTCACGTTGCCCAAGGAAGGAAACATGCGCAGTCCTGCACCATCCCCACAATTGGTCTTCTCTTGGAGCCCAGTGTTGCAGCCACTGCTCCAATCCATCTCTCGAATGCCTTCCTCATCTTCACTGCCCCCCTGCTTTCTCTCCTGACAGTGTGTCCAAGGTACATGACAGGAAGTCTGCCATCCTTGCCTGTAAGGAGCATTCTGGCAGTACTTCTTCCAAGCCAGATCTTACCTAATAGGATGTGGCTAACAAGAAATGGAACCAGTGGTTAATACAGGGTTGCAAATCAGCAGTTTTGTTCCATAAGCATGTCAAGTGAAGTGAGTGATACGCAGGTGCCTCTTTGAAAGATTAGCTTAGTTATTTTGCTTTAAAGGTCATTACCAAGAGAAATAGACAAATAATCACATAAGTGTTTATCCTAACAGCACCTCTGAGTCAATGGAAGTGAGAGGTAGCACTTCCAAGAGCTTCCTTATATAGCTGGGCCTGTTCCTTGTAACCCATGACCTTGTGTGAGATCATAAAGTTCAGGATCGGCATTCCCCACCATCCCTGCCACCCCCTCACCCCCGCCCCCAACCGGGATTTGAACTACAATTCTCTTACATTTTGCCAAAATAAAACTTGAGATGTAATCGGACAGTTTAAACCAAGATATGAATAGGATAATGAGGGCTGTCATATAGTTTACACACGTTAAATTACATCATTCATGTTAAATGTTCACAGCAGTCCCTCTTCCCACAATGTGGTCATAGTTGTTTGCTACTATTGCCTTTATCTAAGGAGTGGGCTAAGTATTGGGGTACTAAACAAAAAGCTGCCCGTTCAGATCCCCCAGCCACTCCATGGGAGATAGATGAGGCGATTTGCTTCTGAAAATATTTACAGTCTTCTAAACCCTTGGGAACAGTTCCACACTGCCTACAGGATCACTGAGTCATAATCAACTCAAGGACAGTGGGTTTGGTTTTCGAATGGGTAGGATTGGCTTTATCTTTAAAAAAAAAAAAAAAGCTGATATCATTAGCTTGCCTAGTGGGTCATGCTTTGGGCTACTGATTGCAAGATTAGCGGTGTGACCCACTGGCTGCTCTAAGGGAAAAGAATGAGGCTTTCTGCTTTTATAAAGATTTCCAGCTTTGAAATCAAAAGGGCAGATTTTTAAACTAGACAGCCAAATAACTGAAATAGAGTTGTTATTTTTTAAAGAAAATAACTTTTTATTCACTTTAATTATTTGCGCACAGATGATCTATGTTTAGCCAGAGGAATAAGAAACCAGTGGAGGTGATAGGATCATATCTAAGTAGTGCACAATATGTAAGAAAGAGGTTAAATTTAAAGAACATTCTACCCTAAACTTACATCCTAATAATAATATTTTCTCCCTTTTTCTTTTTTTGGTATTAATGTTGAAAATAGTATTGAAAGAGGAAGTTTCCTTTCTTGTACAGTCAAGCCATTGGCATACAATATCTGTATATCTTATTGGTTAGATTGTGTAAAGGTTATGTCAGTTCATGTTTACTTGGTTTATCAGAAGTCATAAAATTCGTATAGCAAATTAAAACCTTTTTCTCTTGTGTGAGGCTTTTTCCTTTTTGTGTGAAACCTGATTGATGGGTATTTGACACCCAGCAGTGCTGGCAAGAAGTACCTAAAAAAAGACAGCTGTATCCTCTGCTCTGTCGTTGTTAGGGTTTTTGCAATAAGATACCTGACGTACCAAATGGTTTCTGCTGCTCTTTTAGAAACTCCTCTTTCCTATCTGGGTCATGTGCTGTTGGGAGTATGTTTCACTGATTAGCCCTTGCCTGACAGGGAATGAGAGGGGCTAGCTTATATTTCAGAGTCATCTCCCAAATGTGTGACCAAGTCAGCCACCAACTGCTTGGCAGTTCTTGGCACCTGTACAGTGCTAGATTCTGAAATTACGCAACACTCTTATCATCCAAATTGCAGTGTTTGGGTTCGGTTAGAAAACCAAGGTTACAATTTACGTTTGCAGAATGAAATTTCTCAACAGTGGTTTACTATGGTCATAGTGGTGTAATTTGATAGATTAAAAATCAGCAACAGCTGTTTCTTAGGATGAAGTGTTTTGGAGTCTCTGTACTTTCGTCTTCTGATAGCATAAGAACTGGACCACATGGCCAGAGTGTCAGCTGCCAGTGTTTTCCGGACAAAATAGAACACGAAGAAATGGCCAGGTTATGAGGTGGGAAATGTTGACCAGGACGTCAGACTGAGGTTTCTTGTTTTTGTTTTTGTAAGTGCTATTTTGACACTCGAGAGTAAAGGGACTATTTTAATATTCCAGGTAAAGAAGAAGTAGCTTTTCTAACAGCCGGGTTAGTTAGTTCAGAAGTCCTCTTTGTAAACCCTGAAAGCCATACCGAGTGTAGAAAAACAAGTGGACACATTTACGGGGTTTATCGGAAGCCAGAGACACCTTAGAGCAGATGTAACCTTTCCTTTTTTGTTTGTAGATGGCTCTGAGAGGTTCCTCTGTGAGTCCGTTTTCAGCTATCAAGTGGCATCCACGCTTAAACAGGTGAAACATGGTAAGCACACGGTTGTCGTCTACTGACTTGAAAATAAATTCCCATGGGGGAGAAAGCGATTCAGAAAGGTTGGTGTGTTTTGTGACAAAAACCACAACTCAGCAAAGCTATTAAAGTAGACTTCTTCAATTACCTATAGACAAGAACATTCTAGGTAAAGCCACACTGAGGCTTAAAGCTGGACTGGTGCTGGAGCAATTGATGCACATCTCTTCCCTGAGGTTGCCCTTTTTTTTTTTTTTTCCTCCTGAGAGTTTTGTTCACTGGTGTCTTTTGCTGGTTGCCCTTAACATCTTTGTGTCTTTATGTAAACCTCCCGATATGGAGTCATGAGATCCTAGTATTATCTCTGCTGTTCTGTCGTCTCACCAGATCTTCATTTATGATCAGGGAATTGTGTTCCCCAGTGAACCATTTGCCCATTGAAATCACTATTTGGGGGGAAAAAATAAAAATTTCAGTAATTCAACTGCTGGGAAAAAAAAAAAAGACTATTGGGGGAGGGGAGGCGTTCCAAGAGGGCATAGCTGTAAACTGCCTCAAACGCTAGAATTTTAGTACACAAATCATTGTCGTGTGGAGACTGAGGGGTTTGTTTGTGTAAGAATAGAGTGCAGAATTGGCCTTCTGTAAGGACACCTGGTTATTGAGGCTTCTCTGATTTGACGAGTGTCTTGTGAAATGAAAACGATCAAGTAGATGTTTATTTTAATCTGGAAGGTTTCGGTTGTGTAGTTAAAAGCAGCAAAGGTTGAAGGGGGAGCAGCAAAGGTGAACTGCCAGTAATTGGGAATGTTCTTTTTTTTTTTTAGTCATAAGTCTCTAAAATAGAATAAGACCTCATTGGGGGAGAAAATCCTTCTAAAAATGATTTATAAGCAAGCATCATGTTGCTGGTGATAGTCTCGTGGGAAATCGATTGTTATTGTTGTATCATATCTTACCTTCTTGCCCTTTACAGATCAGCAAGTTGCTCGGATGGAAAAACTCGCTGCTTTAGTAGAAGAGCTGGAGGCAGACGAGTGGCGGTTTAAACCCATCGAACAGCTCCTGGGGTTCACACCTTCTTAAGGTGGATGTGCCTCTGGCACAGCCAATGCAAAGCTGGCAACATCTAGAGCCATCCTGAGATTCAGCTACATGACTGAATTGCTTATCCACATCCATACTTGACTTGTCTATACACAATGAACACTGAAGTTTTCGATCTTGCAGGGAAAAGTTTGTTTAAAAAATAGGGGGAATCATAGGTTTAGGTTTAAGAGAGATTTCTAAAACTTCACAAGCCAGGTAGCCAGCCATGTCAGAATTGGCTTCTGTCCTGTTGTTCATCTGGTGTCTGGAAATCCTCACGAGTCAAGTCCAAGGTCAGGATATATAGCTTTAAAATCGTATTTCTGATGTAAAATACTTCTTTGTGCAGATGACTGTGATTTCAACTAAGGACCTGCCCAAATGAGGACTTAAAAAAAATACACCAAAAAACCCAAAACTTAACTCCCCTAGTTTTAAACATCTAATTCTTTACATTCTAGTTTTCCTAACCTCTTGTAGACATGCCAGACGCTGGCCAAAAAAAGAATTGCCTTTTGAATGAGGGAGCACTGTAAAACAGTGAGCAAAATCCTTTTAAACACAGAAATTCGGAGTTTATTTTGTAGCAAATAAATCCTTTGAAACAGCACCAAATTGGTTTCTTTATACTTTTAAAGTCTCGGGAATTTGGATGGGGGAGGAGGTCAAATTACTTTTTATAATAAAAGAATCTAAAATCTGTTGTTAGATAGCAAAACAGGAACCAGGCTGTCCACCGGCCATGCGCCAATTCAGGCCCCAAGCCATGGGGGTGAGGTACACCTAGGTGACCAGTACCTCTGGCTTGGCCCAACCTAGACCAGGTGGGCTTAATTCAGCCAAAGGGGTCAACCAGTACCGTCGACCACGCTGCCCAGCCACAGGCCCCAAAAGGCTGGAACTGGGAGACCACTCGCTCTTTTTCCCTCCTGCTCCTCTGCCTTCCACACAGCTATGCCATGGTCTCTTTTTCTCTGGCCTCAGGCCGCCACGTGTGGATGTGTAGTCCCATGAGGTTACCTGTATTCTTAACTGTAAAACCTGAAACTTCCTTTGTAAAAACTCACTTGGATCACAAATGAAGCTTCGGCCTGAATTTCTTTCTTGTGGGAAGCCAAGAATCGAGGTATTTCCCACCCAAGGAATCTAACACTATCTTATCTAAATGGTAGCTTGAATATTTGTCTTTGTAGAAGCAAATGCCTTTCTCTTCCCAATATCTGAGTAAAGGCCTGGAAATCTGAGCGGATGGACTCCGTTCTCCCTCATGGGCCAACTGGAGAATTATCTGTTAGACTGGGTCCAGAGTTTGCCTTAGACAAGATTTTGCCTTTCTCCTCATTAATAACCTGCCCCTGACCTGCTTAGAATTGCTTAATTTTAAATACAAAGGTATGAGTCAGAAAGTATTGCTACAAAGTCATAGACTGCTTTATTAATCAGAAATATCAAGGTGTGGAGCTGTTGTTTCTTGCTATATCAGGTCGATATACTCACGAAGGTGGCGTTTCCATCCCTCTAACCCTTCCCCCAAAGGATTCTGTGCTCATGAATTGACACCCTGCCAGAACAGCAGTG